GTGATTTGATATCGACTAGTATCTGACTGAGGTCTTTAGATAAATATCTATCCGAGGTATTTGTTTCTGAGGTATTGGCAATTTGATTGACTGAAGAGTGTAGTTGTGAGGAAGGTGTTTCTGAATCCAGCTGGCAAAATGCACTGTTATTCTCTGAATATGCTCGGTCCAGGAGCACTCTAAAAATGGAAAAAAGATTATTTTTAATTCCATACAAACCAAAATGTTATCCTTCTCTTCATACAAAACCAAAGCTGAAGAAGCTCCTTTAAAGAAAAACCAGATAGTCTAGTTGCCTCTTGAAAAGGCACCTTAGGGACAACCATGACCTGGATGACTGAGAATGTACAAAGACTCCAAAAATTATTTTAAAAATGTTGGGGGAAAAATGGCAGCAAAATTCAGTGTGAACATATTTTTCAAACTGGTTGTTTCAAGCATTGGAAAAAGATTTACAACAAGGTTATGTACAATTTGAAAATTATTTGGAAAACATGGTAAGGACCCCATGAAAACTCTTTACTCTATTCACTTTCTACTTATTAAAGCATTTTTTTTCATGCTTCCACATTAGCTTAAAATAAGACGCTAGTACTTAAGGAGTTGATTAATTAAAGTGAAGTTACTTAATGGGAATTAATGGAGAAACCTGGGCTTTTTAAAGATATAGTAAAGAGACTTTATCTTGGGTGAAGTAAAAAACAGTTCTTCCAAATCATTTTTAAATATGTTCAGTCCTATTTTATTTAAAAGCTACATACAAGTAGTCCTTGATTTCAAGCACAATTGAGCCCAAAACTTCTATTGCTAGTCAAGACAGTTAGTTTTGTCCTATTTTGAAACTTTTCTTGCCACACTTAAGTAAAGCTTCTCTATTGACCTTGCTGTCACAATGTTGCAAAAAGGGATCAAATGACCCAGGGACTCTGCAACTGTCATAAATACACACCATTTGCAATGTGTCTAAATTTGGAGCCCATGACCAGGGGGATGCAGTCATAGGTGTGAAAAATAGTCATAAGCCACTTTAACGAAAAGCCTCAGGTTGACAAATTTCCTAGTTGAAATGAAACAGGACAATATTTGTTTGTTTGAACCAAAAATCAAACCACTATAAATGGATATTAGCATATAAGTGGCTGACTGTAAGATAGATTAAGACAGCAAAATCAAATAACAGCCTGTATAGATGTTACTATTAAAAAGGGATATCAGAATACTAGAAATACTTTCATTGCTCAATTGCATGAAAATTTTACTAAGGAGTCACATGATTTTTTTCTTTTTTTAAAAACTAAGTGATCCTTATTATGAAGGTTAATATTTTATAATTTGAGGATCATAAACAAATTTAAAACGTGTGGTAATTAGGCCTAATAGTGTCAACTGGTAACTGCAGGGGACAAAAGGCTAAGTTTTAGGTTTTGGAAGGATGCCATAATTAAGTTGACACTAGAGTTGACACTAAGATAATTAGAGAATGAATATTTTGCCAAATCCAATTTGAATTAAGATAAAAAAGAACCCTCATCTTTTAGATTTAGAAAAATAATCCAGCCTTTAAAAAGTTCATGTAAATACAGATAATCTTCGACTTACAACCATTTATTTAGAGATAATTAGAAGCTATAAGAGCACTGAAAAAAGTGTCTTAAGACAGTTTTTCACACAATCATTGCAGCATCCCCATGGTCATATGAATAAAATTCAGATGCTTGTGAACTGGCTCATATTGTGATGGTTGTAGTGTGTCAGAGTCATGCTATCACCTTTTATGACCTTCTGATAAGCAAAGTCAATGGGGAAGCCAGAATCACTTAACAACTAATTCAACAAGTGCAGCAATTACCTTAACAATTGTGGCAAGAAAGGTCATAAAATATTCATAATAACAGTTGTAACAGGAACTTTGGGCTCAATTGTGATGGTAAGTTGAGGACTATCTGTACTTAAAAATACTTTAGAAATTAGAGCACTATGCACAAAAGATGATGTATTCTTCTAATTTGAGGCAATTTTGAATGTGATGACAGGAAAGTAAATTATGGAGGCTTGTCAAGGACTTTTCATTGCAAAATATGACAGTATTATGCTAGGAATACTACAATATACTTATTTTCAAGTTGTGATGCATCTGCAGTAGTAGCAATGTAAAATACTTTTACACCCGAGGTGAGTTGCTGCCAGTTGGGCCTGGTTTGACTGAACCAGTAATGGAATTCAGGTCTGGGTTTGAAAACCGGCAGCAACCAAGGCCTGCCACGCCACCGAACCGGTTCCCCCACTGCTGCTTGGCCGTTTTGGATTTTAGTGACTGCGCATGCACAGTTCACTGTAAATTGTTCTGTGCATGCGTAAAGAACAATTTACATTGAACAGCGTACACATGCACAGCGGGAGTCTGGCAAACCGGCAGTAATGCTGGCAGCAACCCACCCGTTTTACATCTAATTTTTATAAATTAAAGCACTGCTGAAGGTTCCTGATTAGCTGAATAATATTCTTTCAAGAAAAATAACATACTAAAATCAATGTTACAGATTACTCTTGACAAAAGAATCCAGACAAGATATGATTAATTACTATTTTGCCCCAGAATCTTTGTAGTAAAAATTAGTAATGTAATTTATTGTGGATTTTTATGCAAAAAGGTTATAGCCATGGAAGTCATTTGATGAGAAAACAAGCTGCTTTAAAGCCTACCTATTAGTCTCCTGGTTATGCACATAAACAAAGATGATCATAGGAGACCTTCAACACATGTACACCTTTAAGCAGAAGTTGTACAGATCTACAGGGAATAACCAATTCTCAAGAAAGATGAACTACAATACCTAAACTACTATACCCATGAATACTATATCCCATGTTTTCAGGATCTTCCCATCATTTTCAGGCAACTTAGAGAGTGTAATGACATACAAAATACGATTAATGTTAGCGTCTTAAAATCATGGATTCAAGGGAGAAAAGAGAAGAAGCAAAGTCACAATAAAGCTTTCTATAACAGAAGAGCGAAGATCGAGTCAAAGCTATAGATTAAAAATACGGATGTCTAATTAAAATTTATGCATTAAGAAACTGAGCAAACATGTTAGAACTACATTTCAAAATGTACATATTATCCACAACATGGTATTATTGTAGTGAGTTTTAAGATAAATAAGCCTACCTTCCACCACGTCCAACCCGTCTACGTGAAAACCCAATGCACTTTTGCGGCCTAGTAAGGGTGGTCAAGCAATATCTATACCGCTCATCTCCTAATGTTCCCCCTTTAGGAGTATTCCAAGGCCAGTCACCAGTTTGGTCTAAATGAGGCTTTGAAAAGAAATATATGGAAAGGGTTAAAGCAAGAATTTAATTAATATAAGTAACAATGTAATGCGTAGAGGTTTGAGACTTACAGCGTTATACTGACAGCCTGTTTTCCTACGGAAAGCAAATGGCCCATCAGGATCATTTTCTTCCTCAGTTTCAGAAGAGCCAGAAAAGATCTTTAAAAAGAAAGCAGTAGTAAGAAAAAGCAGACTATTTCTTCCCTATGAACCAAAGAAACTGTAGATGTCATACTTGAGAAAGAGGATCTTCATCAGAGCTGGGAAAGTCGTACTGATTCATATCTTTAGCATTAAAGATTGGCAGTGAAGCAGGAACTGTCTGCTGAGAAGCAATAGCAGCCGATGAAGGAACAATTTTGGGCTTCTTCTCGTATTTTCTCTTCGGCCGTATAGCTTCCGCTTTCTCTTGCTGCATGAAGATAAAATTCATTAGTAGTTTTATGTAACGGTGCACATAATAACCGTTAGGATGTAAGTTTAGAAGATTTTTTTTTTAAGTGCATCATTTTGATGAAATGAGAGGGAGAGATTTTTCCTTAACTAATATAGAATCAGGTAAGCCCTTTTTCAAATTGATGTAAATCATGGTTGAGTTTATGAATTATTTCTAATAAGTTTTTTTTCAACTTCACAATCAAAACCATAAAACAACCTGGGATTTCCTGGTGATCTCGCATTCAAATACTGTTAAGGTCTTTGTTTAGATTTTCAAAATCAACTAGGATTATTTCATAGGAAGCTTTAACATAATGGAGTATCAAAATCATTTACCATAGTGGTAAGTGGTAGCTACCTAGAGTTAGCTTGAAGTTTTTTGGAATGAAATTAAGAATGTACATGGTTTAAGCACATTTATAGCATAACATTACAAAGCAGATTTTTTTTCCAAGTAATATCTATAATGATGGATAGATAGACAGATAAGAGTCACCTTGTTTATTTTAAATTCCTTCAATTCTATATTTTCCTGGTGTTTAAACTGAGTGCTATTAGGAACTATTCCAACAGGAATAGTATAAGTAGGCTTCATAGGCTGTCGATGTACCATTACTTCAGACATGATCTCTCCATTATAATCACCCAACTTATATCTGGAAAGTAAAGAAAAAGTTTTAATTTACTAGAACTAATCTTAAGGTCAGACATAAGAAATCAAGAGCCAGGACAGTTCAAAAGTGCTACGAATTTATTCCATGCCACAAATACACAAGACTCTGATCTTTAAAGCACCAAGATAAATTGGTGGTAGATAACAGTCAATACACACGGGGCTGGACTTAAAAGTCTCTGATGGTAGCATTTGACTCCACCCATGGGCTCTTCCTGGTCATCTCCTATAGTTAGCTTATATACTTAATATTTATATCTTTATTCCCTTGAGAACCTATTTCAGCATTTCCTTACTTTGGCAATTTCAAGATACATGGAATTTATTTCCAGAATTTCCCATCAACATGGACATTGCTGACAATCCGGGAGTTCAAAGTTACTATAAACTGTTCATGCTGAGAACTACTGATCTAGAAGCGAGTGTTACACCAAATCTTACTCAAGAAAACATTTCATTACGGAAATACTCAGAATATACATTCTGAAAGGAAGATTGCAGTAAGCATGCAAATCTTTCAAATTTGAAATCCCAAAGGTGCTTTTTTTCTCCCCAAGGGGCAACTGGATTTTCTTGTTTTTCTTTGAAGAGATTTTGCTTCTCATCCAAGAAGTTTCTTCAGCTCTGATTGGATGATGGGGAATTGAAGGATTTATATTCCTAGCAGACAGCTGGTCATTGGCATTCTTTTACAGAGTTGTTGAGACCGCTTGGAGGTTTATCTGTGCCCTCAGGATCACCTGAGTAGTGCAAATGGGTTTGGCGCTTTCTTGGAACTGCTGAAAGGACTGTGTTGTAGGCTAGATAGATGATGTATCCCCCAACTTCTCTTGAGAGGGGGCTGTTCAATTTTGACATAGATGGTCTCTTTCTAACCAGCGGTCCTCTCTGTCCAAAATATAGACTTTGTTGTCTTCAAAAGAGTGGCGTTTATCATTTAAATGCAGATGAATTGCTGAAACTTGTCCTGATGGGTTTATTCTCTTATATTGTGCCATTCATTTATGAAGTGGCTATTTCCACATTGAACATGCCTCCCTGCACTGTACTGCATATATCATTTGGCTCAGTTAATGTCTGGGTGTTTTAACCTTGGAGTGGACAAGCTTCTGCCTTAGTGTATTCTTGGGTTTGAAGTATGCAGTATGGCTGAAGATCCTCCTCAGCTTTTTTGATATTCTTGCAACACATGGAATGACTGCATTGTTTCATTTGTTTTCTTCTTTTTCTGTTACGGAGGAGTTCATGCTGGGTCTTGGGATTTGATGAAGGCCCATAGGATAGCCACATGTTCTGAGGTCTTTCTTGATGTGTTTTAGTTCTTTTTCTTTCCCATCTTTCCTGATAAGGCAGCCCTTCAGTTTGGTGGTGTAGAGTTCTAATAACTCCCATTTTGTGCTCCAGTAAATGATGAGAATCAAAATATAAATATTAATCTCGGTGTGTGGGTTTCCTGTAAACATCAATGTTAAGTCTTCTGTCTTCCTTAATGTGTACTGCACAGTCCAGGAAGAATAGACTATTTTCCTTAACATATCAAAATTAAAAAGCCTCTCTCAACAAAAGGGGAAGGATATCACAGCATCTATCTTCAGTTTACAACACAGTCCTTTCAGCAGTTCCAAGAAGGCTCCACACCCATTTGAACTGTTCAGGTGACACTGAAGATGCAGATAAACTGCCAAGTGGCCTCAATGACTCTCTAAAAGAATGCAAAAGACCAGCTGTTTGCAAGGAGTATAAATCCTTCCATTCCCCACCATCCAGTCAGAGCTGAAGAAGCTTCTTTGATGAGAAATCAAAGAAAAACAAGAAAATCCAGTTACCTCTTGAGAAAAAAAGAAGCACCTTTGTGACAACCATGATATGGATGACTGAGAATCTCCATAGACTTTCAAATTTGAAATGTTCCGAGATCAACATATCTCTTTTCAATTTGGGAAAAAGTATCAGTTTCAAAAAGGGCTGTTCTGACTTCACAATTGTTATAATGCTGTGTTCACCTTGACAAAAGCATTCTAAGCTTGAAACAACCAAAGTGTTAGAGTGTTAAATATTTTATTCACCTCAGATAATAGTGAGAATATTTTAGTCAGTATTTTCAACTTTAAAAATGTAATTGATTTTTAATGATATTATTTCAAGCAAAACAGACTTACTTTACTTGGTCATTTCCAATATTACCATAATTTCATAAATATTAAATAGAATCTTTCTTAGTATCTTTGTCTAATAGGGAATCTATTTTATTTTTAAAGATATTTTAATACAGTGCCCATCCCAACTTTTTGGCATCAGGGAAAGAGGTTTTTTCGCGTCCTGGAGGGGGCATAGTTTTACTTCTCATAAATGGGGCTTTGCTTGTTTGCGCGGACCAGTTCCTGGCATGCCATGGACCAATGCTAGTCCAATGACCAAGGGTTGGGGATCTCTGTTTAAATACATGTCACTCAACCATCATGCACCCTTTAGAATGAAAAACAACTCTCCTCTGCAAATTAATATATTTCATTTATATAATTGCAGGTGGATGGCTAAAGTTGCCTTGATTTCAGAATTGCAAAGGATATCCTTCCAGTGACTCTTACATATACTAAACCAAATTAATCTATCTCCTACCTCAGTCAGGCGGGGTCTAGTTGCCCTTGCCTCACAAGAGCTTAAAGAGAGGAATACTTTCAGTTCTATTTGGAGGCAACAGAACTGAATGTAAGACATCACAACTTGTCAAACCTTAGTAATTCTTTTCTCCAAAATAGCAAGATTTTCCAACAATAACAAGAAGCTGTTTTTTTGATAATCTAAAATATTGCTTTTATCCCTATATCCACATATTTGGTGGGTATGGGGATAAACTATGTACAAATGTGGAATAAATAAAAATGTATTACAATTTCATAAAATATTATCTATGTGCCAATTTAATAAGCTATTTATTTAATAGTATAATTTAAAGCAGAACCAAACTGTTTTACCTCTTTTCCATAATTTCCAACGTTAAATGCAGCAACTCTCTCTTGCTTTTTTCCCTTCTCTTTATCATCTCTAGAATTGTTACTGCACGACTCAAATCCCGCCTCAGTTTAAGCATTTTTTCGTAAGAAGTTTCATCATTCTTTCGATTCTGCAAAATGTAGTAAACGTAAAATGAAACATATTTTAGGCCCAAAATATTAAATATTTTCAGACTTGAATGTTGTGAATATTTATTTTTCAACCACAAATTTGAAATATTATTTATAAAGACTCATGTGCCACTTAAATCACTATAACTATAAGGAATTCAAAACAAAAAGCCCTGTAGTATTACAGTACAAAAATGCAATAGCCAATCTAATAATTGTAAAATATATTTATAATTATTAACGCTGCTCACAATAATCCCAGATACAATAAAGTAACAACTGTTTAAGTCCATAAATGTTCTTTGGAATTTCCATGCTTTTAAGAGCTTTGTAATCATCCATAATGAACATACAAATCTTATTTCTTGTGGGGGCCATTCCATAAGAGAGGGAACTCCTGTAGAAAATTCTGGCTTTTGAATCCATCAACTTCATGAGATTCCCATTAAGCATTTTTTGCAAGCACAATTTGGGGAAACAGATTTTAATTGGAGTAAGCAGTCTCTGTAGGATTTTAAAGGTGGCACTAGAATCTTGAACTGTACATAGAAGCAGACTGGCAACCAACACAATTCTTGCTGTATTTGCTGTTATATGGAAAAATCAAGTTGTTTATGTTAATACATGAACTTTTGCATTTTGCTATAACTAGAGCCTATAGGTATTTTCAAGGAGAGCCCTGTACAATATACTATATGATAGCTATAAGTTCTAGAAACAAGAACAATTGATTTACAAGCCAAAAAGTGAGGGAAGGCTCTTCTGGCCACAATTGCCACCTCCTGTTCTAACAGGAATTAGAGGTCCAGGAGGTGAGATGACATACCAGCTGCTTCTGAAGAAGCCCAATCCCATCAAGAGCTTACATTGATGTTACCCTAGTTCCTGAAATAGCAGGCATTCTGCTTTGCTTGGGTTGAGTTTCAATCTCCCCCCCCCCATCCAGATTCTTAGTCACCACTATATTTCCCATTTGATTTGAGATGGAGGTTGTTACAGTAACTTGCATACTGACAATATCATATCTATAAAAGGGAGAGAGGTTTGAACTCTGACACATCCCATAACAAAGTGTCCATGTGACTATGCCAGACATACTAAAGCTAAAGCCATAAACTTGGGAGTGGAAGCAGCATAAAATGATGCCCACATCACAGGTAACACTCAGATAGTCTAAAGGGATACTATCATACTCCTGATAGGCTCATTCTCCTACTATAAAGCATAAATAATCATTACCAATGCTATTTCCCAGGCCTAAAACCTGACAGAAGAGTGTCCAGATAATCCATTTCTTTTTGAGTCATCTGCAGATCTTAAACAATCTCAACAATCTCCCCAAGAATAATGTGTGATAGCTGTTCACTGCAGCAGGGTTAAATGCTAGTTTCTTAATGGAAGGATGTACAATGCCTCTTTTAGAGATATCCCCCAGTCATGCACCATGGCTGGATCCATTTCCCCATCCCCTTGGGAGCATGCAGAAGTCAAATGGGGCAGGATCAACTCATATCCCAACCAACCCAAGAATCAATATATTAAACTTTCCCAGGAAATCTTGAAACACATGAGCCTCACTTGTCTGGACTTTGTCCAACTAGCTTTCGATTCCAAGTGAAGAGTGATTTTTATCACAAACAATTTTGTTAACATTGTCACAGGGGTTTTTCCCCCTTTCCTTTTTTCTGTAAAAAAATCTGGTCACTTTATAAAGGGCTCTGGACAGAGATCTGTAGATGCAATAAAATATTAAGTCCATACTCACTTTTCGAGTCTGCATCTTTTCTGTTCGCCTTCTAAATGCAACATAAGGATCATTTGTGCTGGAACCATCACGCTTCTCCTGTTTCACTACTGAGATAAGACCTTGACAGTTTTTTCTCTTTTTAATCCAGTACTGGTATATTTCTCTAATCAGTTCATCATCTTCCTTCAAGAGTAGTTTGGCTTCCTGTAGGCTGACTGGCTAAAGGTAAAGTCCAAGTATGTCATTTTTATGTATTTATATTCTTAAAACAATTTCAAATTTGAAACAATACTATACCTGCTGACCACTTCCTTTTTCAAGCTGAACTATCATTTCTTCAAATTGCAATGGAGAAATATCTATTTTTTTCCTCAGCTTATTCACAAAGGCCTCATCTTCTGAATCCAAATCATAATCTGGTTGCTCAACATCCAAACTAAAAGCTGAAAAGAGAAAAACATTTTAATGGGTTTTAATATTTTAATATAATTTAATATAAACTTCAAAGTAGAAGAATTTAAAAATATACACATATATTCTTGCCATTTAAAATCTACCGATTATAAAATTATATTTCTTAACAAATCCTGAGAATATGAATATATGGTAGCTAATTCTATATAGATAAGACAGAATGTAGATATACGTTTGAAAAATTATCAAATGAATAATTGTCAATATTTATAAAGTAGCCTTCATTGGATAAATAAAATTTTCATTAAAAACTATTTAAATATATTGTTTTCAGGTAAATATGACGACTTGCCAGATCTATCCCATTACCAGTAGTCCTAGCTCACTGACTGCTTTGTTCTAAATTACAATGGTGCTGGAAAAATAATTTTATAACCAACGTCCTTTACAACTTTTTACACTTGCCATCAGTCACATTATTACCATTATAATAATGCTTTGTCCCATAGCTAACCTATTGTTTTACTTATTTTCCCCCTGGGAAATGTGCTGGTGCCAACAGCTGAGAATGTGCCTTGCAAACCGTCCAGTATATTCACCGTTGTGTGCCTGCTTATTCTTTCGTAATCCCTTTCTCTTCAAACTCTCCACTTTGCGGGTGGGAATGGTATAGACCAGGAAGATTGCCTACAGAAAGTTCCACTCCCCCCTGCAGAATTGAGAGATTGGAGAGAAAGGGATTACAACAAAATACACAGGCACACAATGGGGAACACAGAGAAAGAAATGTGCTAGTGCCAGCAACCACCTGCATACAATGCAAACATTCCAAGGGATTCCCCATATCGTAAGACGTATCATGGCCCTGATTCTGCAGTTCTTTAGCAAGCACTTATAATGTTGCTCTATTGATGCATTTACAACATTATTTGTTGTTCTATATTGCATGTGAAAGAAAAAAATATATGTCAATTTGTAATCTGTAGGATATCAATTGACAGCTAAATAAAATTCAGATTTTTTCCCCATTGTATACAGGTGGTTGTTGACTTACAATAGTTCATTTAGTGACCATTTAAAGTTACATCATCACTGAAAAAAGTAAATTATGACCGTTTTTCACACTTATGACCATTGTAACATCCCCATGATTATGTGATCAAAATTCAGAAGCTTGACAACTGGTTCATATTTATGACAGTTGTAGGGTCCTGGGGTCATCCCCTTTTGCAACCCCTTCTGACAAAGTCAATTTGGAAGCTGAATACACTTAACAACCAGCTTACTAATTTACCAACTGCAGGGATTTACTTAACAACTGTACCAAGAAAAGTCGTAAAATGGGGCAAAACCTACTTAACAATATTTCACTTAGCAACAGAAATTTTGGGCTCAATTGTGGTAAGTTGAGAAGTAACTGTAGTACCTCTCCAATTCCATTTTCTTTGACCAAGTTAAAAAAACTCTGACAAGTTTTTTAAAAGTTTGATGTAAGTTTGTTTGTTAGTGAGATGAGGAAATAAAATTTTAGTTTATTCACTATATCTCTGAACACATTACAAATTAGCTTAGCCTACGTGTAAAACCATATAGTACTATGGCATTGCATACAATGTAAATTACATCAAAGTGTTATAAAGATACTGTGTACAGGCAGTCCTTGACTTAGTCACAATTGGAACTGGAATCTTAGTCACTGTGTGAAATGGTCATTAATCATGACACTCATGACTCTCCCAATTGGTTGTTAAGAGACCACATGAGTCATTACATCGACAGGGTAAAAGTGCTGTTTTCCAAAGGAAAACAGCCAGCTCCCTTGCATGCACAGAAGAGAACTCCTGCAACAGGCAGAAACCTCTGATCTTTGAGATCCAAGCTTATTGCTATAGCCCCCTGCTCATGTTCCCTTCCCCACCGTGCAAGGAGGGGAATTTCTTGGAAGGGACTACACAAATGGGGCTCAGATCTTCAGGATTAGACCTCCATTTCTTCAGCCCTTTGGAAGAGTTTTTCTCCTCTCCATGAGCTGAAGGGAAGTCATATACTGGGTTGGAGAAACAAGAGGAGATTGCATATATCCCTGCTTTGTTTCTCCTGCCCAAGGACTCCCCCTTCTATTAAATGGAGGGGAGGGGAAATCTTTTGGCAGGTGTGACACTATCTTGCAATCTCCCCTGCCAGCTTCCCCACTGTCTTTCTTGAAAAGGTAGAAGAGATTGCAAATTGTGATTACATGGTCACAGGGCACTTGTTATCCGATCTTAAATGTAAACACGTCAAAAATCCATATTATGATCATATGGAGAACATAGTGTAACATTTTTTGACAGCTGGAAATGCTTTCTAGACTGTAAAGGAACCCTTCAAGCCATTCTACGTTTGAAGGGTGTTTAAATGACTGGTTATAGGTTGACAACATGTGTTTCATTTTTTTAAACACTACCTATTTTATTATATAAGAAACACATACATAACAAAATTTAAATTGTTTTGAGCTCAATATTTTTTGTGCAACTAATTTAATTAGTAAATCCAATTACTTACTTACGTGACCCCAGCCCATATTTTTCTTTGTATCCAAAGGAGAATCTACAAAACTAGTTTTATTTTAAAAAAGCAATCCAGTTCATTTTAAATATTCAGTATAAATGTATACTCACGCTGTATGTGAATAAGCTGCTTTGGCATTTTAAATTCTCCAGGGTATATTGATTCATAATAGGCAATATTACTTTCTGCTTCTGGGACTGGTATAACCATATTATCCCGTTTCTCTCCATATACTTGCTGTGCTGAAATGGCCCGCTGGAGATGATGTTCCTACAGTTCATTAACAAAAAAAGACAGATGAAATACACACGCTGTGTGGGTGTGTGTGAGTGTGTGTATGTGTGTCTAAATAATGTTAATGTGGAAACTGAAGAATTAAATATTAAATTATTTCAGCCAGGTGTTTTTGGTGTGTGTGTGTGTGTGTGTGTGTGTCTGTCTGTCTGTCTGTCTGTCATCTATCTATAACTTTTTATAGATTCTTAGCCTCTGCTGAAGTTATTACATTTTAATCTATTTTTACACTTAATAAAAGAAAGTCAAAATCATAAACACAAAATTGAAAAATCTGTCAAAAGATTTCAGAATGCATTTTCATTTTTTCCTATGATGGTAATTGTTGTTTGAAATATAATTTGAGACAAAAAATATGCACTGGTTGCTGTTTGTTCTTAGGTTGTTTTTTTTAAAAAAAAAATATCATTTAAATAGATAGTTCTAGTAATTATGCAGGCAGAGCACCAACTAAACTGAGTAATCCACTCATCTATGCATTTCCCCTAGTCATAAAAAAACATTTTCTACTCCCTAAAGGGAATCTGCTGCTCTCTTTTAATTAGATGAAATTACAAGCTATCATATTAACTATTTTAAGGATAAAAATATCCCTTAATAAAATGGGAGGACGTATGCTTAATGCTGGATCATCCTGTCCTATAACATGTAATTAAGATAGTTATAATTGTTACAGCAGCTTGTTCACATGCTTTAAACTATGCAAAATACAGTTACATTTTCGATAATCAACAAAGTATTAATTCTGACAAATTAAAATACAATATCCTTCCAATACTGTTTAGGAATGGAATCTAATGTGACTATTAAACTAATGGAAGTTCCCAAATAGTCTAAATGTGATTAACTAGGCAATAAGATATTATTCACCAAATTACATGAACTGGATCAACTCTACATCCTTACTACTATTTTCTGAACCATTTGCAACCTATCAAAAGGATCAGCAAGACCCTCTTATGGACCCATACACATTTTAATAATTATTATTTTCAGTTATTTTGGACCAGAAGTACATAAATACTGAGCACCAATCAAACTAAAAAGAATTTTATGAATAATCGCAAATGTGTTAAAGGCCTAAGGCTGACTAACATAGTTTTAACTTCTATATTTTGATTTCTTTTCTCAGGTTCTTTTTTTATTCTATCTTCTACTGGTTCCAATTATTTAACAGACTGCCAAAAACTCTTGCCTATCATCACTTTAGCGACTCCTGTGTGACAACTACACTTCAACTTGCTCTAAGCATTTCAGAATTTTTCCAAACATTAAATTTTCAAGTGCTTAAGATTATTAAAGTGCTGAAAGATTTATACTATTTATACATTAGAATATTTGTAAATTTTATTTATTTAACATATTTACATGACTGAGTAGTTCACAGTATGACAAATTAAACACTATATAAAAAACCTAAAGACAATCAGAGATAAATGAAATAAAAGCAGAAACATAGACATTAGGATTTTAACTAATTTTACATAGTTCTTCTGACCAGCCAGATTTGGTTTTTGTGTTGTTGCTTACTTCAGAAACAGAAAACCACATTTAAGAAATCACTATCCTCAAAATAGTCTTGATATTGTATAAAAAGCAAACATGTCTATTTCATGTAAACAAAACCCAAATGTCTCTTTTTCTCTCTCTGTGTATGTTGACTTCAAGTCAGTGTTGACTCTTGCAGAGATCCTAGACAAATTCCTAGAATTTTCTTGATAAGATTTCAGAAGTGGTTTATTTCTGCCTCTTTCCTAGAGCGGAGAGGGACTTCCTGGGCCAAAATCACCTAGCAGACGTTGTGTCTAACACAGGACTCATGGTTTCCTGATTGCCTGATGCCTTGACCTCTATAACAAACAGTATGTTTCTTTTTTTGACTGCTAATAAGTAGTAAAAAAGTAAAAGCAATCAAAACTTTCACACTGGAGAGAACAATACATAAATACAGGTAGTCCTTGACTTAAGACTACAATTGAGCCCCAAATTTCCACTACTAAAAAATAGTTAACTGAATTTTGCCTCATTTTGTCAGTGTTGTTAAGTCAATTACTGCAGTTAAATTAGTAACACGATTAAGTGAATTTGGCTTCCCCATTGACTTTGCTGTTGAGAAAGTCACAAAAGGTGATCACATGACCCTAGGACACTGCAACTGTCATAAATACATGCTGGTTGTCAAAACATTTGAATTTTGATCATGTAATTGCAGGGATGCAATTAACAGTTGTTAAAAATGGTCATAAGTCACTTTTTCAGTGCCTTTGTAACTTTGAATGGTCACTAGACAAGTGACTGAAAGTTAAAGACTACCTGTATAGATATAGAGTGGTAGAGAGAAAAAAGGGTGGGTATTTTTTGCCCCACTACACTTTATAGATAACATGTTTATATTCTTTATCAAGCATTTATGGACTTGAAGGCTGATTGCTACATTTCTGTATGCAGAATAATAGAATAGAAGAGTTGTAAAGAACCTTGGAGGTCTTCTAGTTCAGCACCCCTCAACCTTTCTGACTTTGTGGACCTGTGGGTGCGTGAGAGGAACAGTTCCAAGAAAGCAGTGAGAACATGGGCACTTGGCTGCTGCTTCAGTGTCCGGGTTCAGAATAAGCTCGGGCCCTGTACTGGGTCGCAGCCCAGCATTAGAGACCCCTGTTCTAGTCCAACCCTGTATCAATTCAGACAAATGGCTCTCCAATCTCTTCTTTTAAAACTTCCAGTGTTGGAGCACCCACAACTTCTGGAGGCAAGTCGTTCTCCTGATTAATTGTTCTGTCAGGAAATTTCTCCTTAGTTCTATGTTGCTTCTCTCCTTGATTACTTTTCATCCATTGCTTCTTGTCCTGCTTTCAGGTGGTTTGGATAATAGCTTGACTCCCTTTTCTTTGTGGCAACCCCTTAAATATTGATACTGCTATCATGTCACCCTATCCTTCTTTTGATTAAACAACCCCTGCAATTGTTCTTTGAATGTTTTATCCTCCAGTCCCCTAATCATCTTTGTTGCTCTTCTCTGTACTCCTTCTAGAGTCTCAATATCAATTTTATGTCATGGCGGCCAAAACGGGATGCAGTATTCCAAATGTGGCCTTACCAAGGCATTACAAAGTAATATTAACATTTCAGATGATCTTGACTCTATTCTTCTGTTAATATAACCTAGGATTGCGTTGGCTTTTTTGGCACATTGCTGGCTCATATTTAAGTGATTGATACCTCTTGCAGTTACCACTATTGAGTCAGGTACCATCTACTCCATGGGTGTCAAATTCAAGGGCTGCAGGCTGGATTTGGCTCACAGGGTGCTTAAATCTGGCCCACAGAGCCGGCCTGGAAATAGCAAAGGATCAGCCCGCAGTGCTTCTAGCAGCCTCCTACAGCACCCTGCCAGCCAAAACAGGGTGCCGGGGGAGACCTCCCCATTTTGATTAGCAGGGCGTTTCAGGAGGCATCCGTCCCATTCCACCACCCCCCCCCCGGATAACTACAATGCTAATCCAGCCCTCGAAGAAATCCAGTTTGACACTCCTGATCCACTCTATACCTGTGCATGTGTTTCTTGCCTAAATGTAGAAACCTTACTTTTCTCATCACTGAATTTCATTTTGTTAGATATGGCCCTGTATTCTAGTCAATTCAAGATATTGAATGTTGTGTAGTTAGCTCATAATCTGAATGATTTTCAGTCTGTTATTACAAGAATCATTTTTGTTAAAATTGGTTTCAGCAATTCTAAAAATAATAAAAAGCAGCCAAATACAAAGATTTGGCACATCAAGCACAGACATCTTATTATGCTGTCAGTCATCCAATTATGCATTGTTTTTCATTTCTCTATACTTTACTGCCATGAATTCCCCCCTCCCCATTTTTTTTCTCTTTTTGTCCTAGTAGATAATGCAAATTGCAAAGGAATCAAAATCTAATATCAGGAAGAAAATCCTTTCACTATGTGAAATCCAATCACATCTCTATAAAATTGAGTAGATAAAATATGACTCTAGGAAGGTAGCTATAATTTACAGAGTAATACATAGCAACCAAGTCTTCCAGAACATGTACTTTAGAACAGTGTTTTTCAACCTTTTTTGTGCAAAGGCACACTTTTTTCATGAAAAAAATCACGAGGCACACCACCATTAGAAAATGTTAAAATTTTTTAACTCTGTGCCTATATTGACTATATATAAAGTAATTCTCTTGAATCCTCCACGATTGTTGCTATGGGCGCACGTATGGGACGTCAGTGACGTCCCTGCGTGCGCTACTTCCCGGCGGTCTCTGCATTTTTAAAGTAAACGCGGGGCCGCAGGGACTTAATAGAGGCATCTCTGTGTCCCGAAAGCAACTTTCGGGACACAATGTTCCCTCTAATTTTTTTTCAGTGTGAGCAGGAAAGTATAGTGTTTGAGTGGCATATTTTCATGCCTGAGCACCTGAATTTTTTTCACAGATGTCACCTAGAAATACAAAAGCACTATGGTACAGGAACCCTCTTGTATCTCCTCTTCACATATGCTGGTGGAACAGTCTAAAATGCAAGTTTATGAAACTCTGCATAGAGTAGCTTATTAAGGACTGAGTAGGCATTATCCATTATAGAATTTCACCAGCAAAGCAAGTTGAAAAATAGTATAGGTAGTTTTTGCTTACTGACAGTAATTGGGAATGGGAAATCCATCATTAAATGACATTGTTGTAAGGCATAAAGCACATGACGCTCATCAACTCACTACAGCAGTTCCAGTTGCTGTTGTTAGGTGAACCTCTCATAATCTCCATTTGCAACCTCCTAGTTGTTCTCCATTGACTTTGATAGTTGGAAGCTGGCTGTGAAGGTTGCATATGACAATCAAAATTGTGGTATGCTGCAACTCTCATAAATGTAAGCTGGTCACCAAGCACCCAAACCACAATAATGTGATTGCAACAACTACAAGGACCTGTCATTCAGCAGTCTTAACTTCAATCAC